TCTACAATCTTTCATGCTAATTATATAATAAGTAATAGATGTGTAGATATATTTTTAATTTTAAATAGCTTTACTATATACATAGCCTATATATATATATAAATTACGTGCCTATATATATATAGGCACGTAAACAAAGTATTCATAGAACTAGTACATTTTGAAGGAAAATAGTACATTTTTTGAAGGCGCTTCAGTACGTTTTGAAATTTCATTGCGGCAACACTGGACGAAATCTCTGCCTTTAGAAATAGACCCGGAAGCGTTTACTCTCGGAATTCTGCCACCGGAAGCGATTGGAAGATGTAGAAAGAAACATCAAATATTTCCGATTAGGTTTCTGTCAAAATTTCGATACGTCGTTATAACGAAATACGTCGATCGCATTTTTTAAATATAAAAATTAAAATTAATAATAAACGATTTCTATTAAATTCTGTTTTTGTTTTATCGATTAATAACGAAACATTCGACGGCCGAGAAGGTTAAGGCCCGGGCCAACTGCCGCCGGGACCAGGGATCGGATCTATGCGGGAATTTTTCGCGGGTATTTTGGGCTCGTCCCTCTCCGCCCGGCTGCCCCGTCGCGGGTCTGACCGACCGATACGGGGGAAAAACCCTTATTAGCGGCCACGGGACGAAGAGAATTAAAAACTTAAAAAGGGATATAATAATTTAAAAGTAAATCTTATTTTGAATAAGTTTTTTAACTGGATAAAGAAATATTTTCTGAGATAACAAAAATACTTCTATTAGATTATTTCACCCAACGCCTTTGGATCTTTTTTAATCGTTTGTATTCTATTTCGTGGTCAGTTTTTCTATTCTCTCTCTTAATACTCTGGTTTTAGATAAAATATGCATATATTTAGTTTATTTTATATTATATTTTTGCATGTAATTACTAAAAAATATTTTCCTATTTTTTATTCAGTTTTAAATGTAATAAAATTTCAATCAGACACTATTGCTATACTGTATTTAAAATTAATTTAAAACAAAATATTGCCATTTTAAGAGAAGTTTTAAATGTCTCATCGCTCCCATTACGAATGATAAATTAGCGTAAGTAACGACGAAAACTTTCTCCGCCAAATATGTTCTATTTGTAAGGCACAAATTTATAATAACGCGTAGCTTTTTAAAAAAAATTGAAACCCCGCTTTTGAATTTACCGTGTTCAAGTATGCCAAAAACATTCTGAAAAATACGTTACGTCGCTGGTTTTCACGCGCTTTTTGTGGCACCGTTTGATAATATGCGGCCATTTGAACCGGACCGAAAATCGCTACTCGCTGGTTTTCAATAAAGAAAAATAACTACTTTTAAATTAAATTAAATTTACTTTTATTAGGAATTAGCGTATAAAACTGCATTAAATGATGGAAAATTTAATTCAGAATTTATAAATTTTAAGAATGTTTTCTCTTATCATTGGTAAAACACGAATATTAAATTGTTAAACAATTTATAACTAATAGAAAGCGATATATAAATGACTTATTTTTAATTATTACAGATTAATGTAGAACAAGTTTTTTTCTCGAGTGAATTTTATCTTATTTACTAAATAAATTTTCTAAAAAACAAAGTTTCAAAAATTATATAATATGGAAAAATATATTTTATGCACACTTTCTATCGTACGTATACACTTTATCCATGGGACCTGTGGGTTTAAAGTCGGCGGTATCGGTGCTCCTGAACAAAATCCAACATCTGAAACGTTGGCGGAACGACATCAATATACATACGGTATTAATAAACGTCCTATCTTTAAAACGTTCGTACTTTAACTTACCTATTTTCTATCGACTCCCAAACTCCTACTTCCGGATCGTAAACTTCCAAATCTTCTCCGTAAGTGTAAGCTCGACACCGTGGCTCGCTTAAACACAATTTTCGACATTTGTTTTCTCCCAAGCCGTCTTTGGGTCCGAGATAATCGTCCGCATCCAAGAGCAATTGGCCGAGAATACGGGGGTGGAATTCGTCTTGGCACACTGATCCTGTATAATAATATAAATATTTTAAAATTTTAAAACTTTAATTTTTTTTATTAATAACTAACTTACCAATTGTTTCTTTGAGTATACGGAAAGCCAAATTGTAAGTTCCTCCTTCTACGGGAAGGTTTTTGTTATACATTGCTATAACTTCTTTGATTCGCGTTTCGTCTAACTTCTTAAATTGGCTAATTTCTGGGATTATTTCTTGAAAGCTTTTCAATACTTGGCTAAGATTTTCATACAAATCTTCGGCCTGAAAGTAACATCGATTTGGAATCGTCCATAAATTAACTAACGCTATTTTTACGTCCTTCGACTACCCCCCGTAACGCTCGTTACGCCCTGGCGCGTATCCGACCCCAAAATTAAGTAACGCGTATCGTTAATCAATTCCTTAATTGTAACTTAGTACAATTAAGGAATACGTAACTTATTATTCCTTAGTACGGTTAAAGCGTTACTTCTTAAATAATATCATCATTGGCACGTACAGTACGGTGTATTATAGCGGGTTTAGGGTGTCGATGATTATTATTACGTAAGATTAATCTTTAGTCACTAAGGCAGTGAGTGAAACGGCGTAAGGAGTCTGTTTACCAGCCGATTAGTGGCAGTACAGCTTTGGTCCAACGGACGTCGGACGGGATGTCGAGGTTGACCGGAAAGGTCCATTTACTATAAAGAATTGACCGACCCAATTCGAGTTGCGGAGTAACCCTTCATTTATAGTTTGGAAAAATATGTTAAGGCGATTAACGCTCGAGGTTTAATAGCCTTAGACGGTAACGCTCGAAAAACAAAAACGAATCATTCCGTTATCCAAAAGTCCAGACTAGTATTACGTAACGCTTTTGTAAACATCCTCCCCCTTGTAACGCGCGGTAACCCATCCGTATCTGCGTTACGTAATTTACGGAAAGCTTCTTCGATAAATCCATCTTAATTTCAAATAACATCTGCCTTACACGCATCGCATTAATTTCGTACGTCTATACATTACCTTCTTCTCTTGCTCTTCTGTCATTTCTAGTTGTCCTCTATATAGCCAATTGGACATAAGATCTTCCGTTTCTCTTAAATCATCAAACAGCTCAATTATTTCATAAAGTTTTCGTCTAGAAGATTCGTCACTAAAGAAAAAGCAAAACTGAGATATTTACGGGGAAAATATATTTAGAAGACGGTAAATAAAACCTTTCTGACAATGCATGGTCGATATCGTCGAAGCTGGAATCCAACGGTTTTAGTGGAGACATGAACATAACCGTAGGAATTTCACGTTCATTTTTCGAGTAAATGTCGCGATACGAATCGATTAACGTTTTGATATTTGAAGGGTGGCTAAAATTATTTGAAGGAAGAGATACGGTGGAGAAAACTCTGTGTCGACGAACGATTGGTCCTCGAAAAGGTGCTTTATCCAAGTGTTCGTTGGCCAAAATAAACGCATCTAAACAAATATTTATAAAATTTGTATTCATTTACAAACTAGTACATTTCTATAATACGTATAATTTATGTTTTTAATTATATTTGCGGAATATATTTCGAGAAATAGATGAATTATATTGCATTTTTGTCAAGAAAATACTCTCATTTATTAGTCGGTAAATAACTTGTACAGTACGTTTTCCATGGTCAAATTTAGGCCCGAATGAATTTAATGGAAAATATCCACAACACGCTGGTAAACACATTTATCTAATTGATAAACAGTATTATTAAAATGATGCATTTTCATTAAATAGGAAAATATCCAAACGTCTTATGATCGGTTAAGAAAATATTAATATCGAAGTTCTCTAATTTTGAAATATCGAAAACCAAGTTATTTTAAATATATACGCGGATACATTTGTTACCAGGGCGAGTAGGATTTGTTGCGGAGGTCCGAGAGGCCCCGGAGAAAAGTACAATACAGTTATAAACGATTTAAACCCATCGTTCGGTTAATTTCAATCTTTGGCGCTGTATTTTTTCTCCCAGGCCCCTCGGACCCTGGTAACGGATCTTGCCCGTCCCTGGTAACAAATGTATCCCTATTTCGTGGCTATTTTCGTGGCAGTAAATAATAAGTACGGTACGTATAAAAACCAGCGAAAACTCCCATTATCCTACGAGACCAGTCTTTAAAACAGTACAACGGCTGATTACCGATTAAGAGATTTGGAGAGACCATCTGGCTATCGTTACTTCATCGTAGCTATTATTAAAATAAAGTTATTCTAGAAATATAATTGCTTTAAAAACTGTTATTCGAAAATGAAAGAATAAAACAAATGTCAGGAGTGACAATTGCTTTAGGGTACCCTCAATGGCAAAAAAAAGAAATATATATATATATTTTAAATATAAGGGCATAATTGATGTTATTTCTTTATAATACTTTTGTTTTAAGGTATAATAATAGCACGAATTTTTTACATTTGGATAGTTAATTTAATAATGCATTTTCGTTGTTAAGTTTTTCCGTTCCGTAGACACCGGCGGGACCTCTTTTCCTTCTGGTCACCAGTTTGGCCAAATCCGTAACGGGGCGGTCGGTTGGCGAGAAACCAAGTCCGACACACCACCCATAAAAATTACCGTGTTTTTCGACTTTCCGGATTCCATCCCGGATTCCCCGGAGTAGTAGGCCCATGCCTTAATCGCCATCGTCTATTTTGCGTAGGCCTACTTATATTACCGTATGGAATCACATTGGAGTTATCCGAGAAATAGCTCGAATCGAGGGTAATACGTTATTAAAAATTGGCAAAAAAATTGATATAAATCTGGAATATAAATATACTTACTTATGAGACTGTCCTCCTCCTGACTAACTACAGGGATAATGTGTTGTTCGATCATCATTTTATCAAAAACATTTTTGGTTATATAATCGTAAACGATAATCGTCGAACCACCGTGATGGAGTTCTCCGACATAGTGAGTACTGTTAGCCAGTCCAGCTACTTTCAAATTTTCTTTTAACGTCTCGGCATTTTCCGGAAGGGTGTGCGACTCCTGCGTAAGTTACAAATTGACATTTATCATCGTATTACGAAAACGATTCTAGGTATATTAGTAGCGATCCACTTACGCTATAATAATCGATCTTAAATGCTGCCGAAAAGACGTTCTTTTTCTGATAAGTATCGGTAATGAAATCGTTGATTCCGTCCAACGAATCGTCCAACTTCATTAATCCCGCTTTGATACGGAGAATTACGTCGGGTTCACATCCAGTCAACTTATAATATTGACTGGTGTCGTACATGGCGTAGAATCTCGTAGTCAACAAATCGTGCGACTGCTATTTACGAAAGAAAATTAAAGACATTTTACACTCGTGCTCTTTTTTAAATAACAATTCATAAAGAAATAAATGGGCTTTTCATTATAAATGAATATACTTATATTTTTCAAGTTATACTGTCTGTTCGTTCGCTATAGAAATTAAGGTAAAACTTGGATTCCAAAAGGCTATACGAAGATAATTGTCTAATAATTAAGTAATTAAAATAGTGCCAAAATTACAACTAGTGTTTATTTTACTTAATAAAGTTACCGTAAAAGAGTTTGAAACGACGTTCAACAGTATTACTGAGGTATTCGGTAAGACAGTAACAATGTCAATCATTCTTAACATTTTGGAAATCGTATACATATATGTTCAGTCGAACCTCCAATAACGGCCACATCTCAACGACGGCCATCTTGTACGTCCCCGTCTGAGACTGTTGTTCGGAGGTTTGACTGTACATATATGCATTATTGAAATAAAAATTTACCTTTTTGAATTGTTCATTATTGAATACAGTAGTAGATGGCGTATAAGTACGTAAGTCTATTGCCGAACCTAATAACATGGAAGCGATAACGGGCAAAAGTAGAGTCATTACGCTGTTGACAATTTATCGAGGTTGCTCGAGAAAAATTGAAGGAAAGATTAATAACGTGTCGCTGTATGCAAATTGACAAAATTAATTGATACGGAGATATTTATTTGTACATTTGACAGGCAGATGAGTCTTTCCCGTAAGCAGGGATAATATAGATAACAATATCTCTATTTGCGTTAAGATAGAAAGATATATTCATTACGGAAAAATAAACTTGTCGTTACGCTTAAGTACGAGAGCGTAACCGAATTTATTTTTGTAGCTCGATTCTTCCATCGAACATCATGGCTTTGAAGATGTTGTATCTCCTTCCCATGATACTGGGAAGAACTTTCGATGCTAGAAATGACAGAGTGGGAATTGATATATTTCCCGAGTCCGAATTGAAAAAAGTACAAGTAAGTCAGATTATTTATTTTTTAAAATTTTAATGCCATTGAACTATTAATTAATTTTTGCATATTGCAAACTGAAAAAAGTATTGTAAAATATTCAGGTGAACGATCATTCTTTCTTTGAAACTACTTATAAAATGATACAAAGTTCTCAAGAAGTGAAGCAAGTTCTTCAAGTTTCGGGAGATTTCTCTCTTAAGGTGAAATCTGGGAAGGTTGATTTGAAAGGTTTTGGCAATTACTTGAGATCGTCTACGACGTCTGAAAAAACTGTCGAGATATTAACGAGAACCAAATATTATACGGTAAGTATATTTATATATCAGGCAAGAAATAATTAATAAAGTATTAAAATCCAGTCATTTAGCATACAGAATCTTTACCTTTCCATCTGAAACCTCGGTCCGATTGGGCGAGTCACAGGCCAGAAGATTTAGGAACTCATTACGTACAAAGTATTACTTACGGAGGAGAATTAATATCTTCTTTGAGATTTATTGCTCACAAGATAGAGGATGTCCATAGTATCCAAGCGAAAATATCGGCCGAAATACAAGGAATGAAACTGGAACAACTCATTGCTTCGGGTAAATTGTATTTAAAATTCGTATTAAATTGTACGTACAGTACTTTCAATGATATCAATCGTTTCATTTTAGGGAAACTCAGTCAATTAAAAAATGATCTTCGGGACAAGGCTAACATGGAAATCTCATACTTCGCCACTGTTCCATTGAAAGACGTGCCCAATACTATAGAAGGTCTACAGAAATTAGTAGAAGGGTTTGACGAACAAGTGAAAAGTGTCAACAACGGTGCGGGAGTACCCGTTAGAGTAGAATTAATGGAATTAGCCACGTTTGATGCTCGTTTTCAATTTTTGATAAATAAGTAAGAGCTAATGTTACGTAATTTATATTCTTTGTTTATCTTCGATTATAATTAAAACCAAACTTCAGGGCTTTGGAAAATGCATTGAAGACGTTTGAAGATCAATTCGACGATTTAAGAGTTACTAAAGATAAGTTAACCGACTGGATCAGAAGTTTGCCTCCGACATTGACACAGAAACAAGAACACGAGGTACTAAATTTCACGGAAGAAGTAAAAACGTGCAGGCAATTTTACCTAACAGAATTTATTTATTCTTAGATTACGAGATTATACGAGAGAATTAGAAAGGTACTCAGGGTCTTTCAACATACAATTGGAGTTTTGGATATAGAAAAGGGAACCGATCAATTGTCAAAGGCGCTGCAGGCTTATAAAGAAGGCGGAAAAGGTTTACCCGGAAAGTTCAAACGTGAATTTGATAAGTTGAGATTTGAATTAGTTCGTATTCATTTTCTATACGCTTTTATTTCTTTTAAACCTTTCTAATCGTTATCTTTTTATTGTTTTCAGATTGTCGACGGTAAGTTAATTAAACGATCAATAGTTTTAACAGTATTACATCCTACTTAAATTACCTTCTGTATTACAGAACCGGATTTAAGCGACGTCGGAAAAACCACATATATTAGATGGGGACATAAAACATGTAATTCTTCGACCTCAACTACAATCTACGACGGTTACGTAGTTTCTGGAGAAGAATTCGGAGTCGGAGGAGGAACTAACTATTTGTGCCTTCCTAGCGATTCGGACTTTATTTTTGGTAAACTTCCGTCCGACAAAAAAAGTGGAAGTTACTTAGGGGGTGTTAGATACGGTATAACGGATTTAGAACTATTTAAAGGATCCGAAAGAGAAAATATGTTTGGGAATGGAGTCACGTGCAGTATGTGCCACGTTGGCAATCGTTCCACTATATATATGCGAGTGGGATCTCATCGATGTCCGGACGGATGGGTAAACGAATACCAAGGATATTTAACAGCTAACAGAGATAATGGACATCGAAGTAGATACGTGTGTCTGGATCAAACGCCCGAATATTACGCGGTAACTAACGCCCAGCTCTACGAACACAACTTGAATATAGTAGGAATAGCTCAAGAAAAAAACCAAGATTTGGCAATTTCTTGTACCGTTTGTTCGAAATAATCGTCAACGATCATTTTTAATGGCCTGTAATACGATCAATTTATTCAGATTCTATTAAATATAATCAATCAATTTGCTCTTTACGCTCTTTCATTTTAAATTTATTCACCGAAACAATAATATTAAAAGATTCGTTACGATTTTAGACACGAAAAAGTGCTTCTGGCAATGTCGATTTAAAGATTAATAATTTTAATAATATCTAATCTTTTATAACGTTATTAAAATAATATTAGTTTAAAATGGGGGAACCCACGAAAGTTCTTAAAATATAACCGAACCTGGAAACAACGACCATTAAGAGGAACGTAAAAAATGGCTGCCGTTGTCGAAAGAAGATGGTTATTGCAGGTTCACTGTATAACTTTGTTATCTTATAAAAAATTATTCTCAATTTGACAATATTAAATGGAATAAATTAAAATATAAAATAAATATATTCTATTATCTGATTTCTTCGTTTTGAAAATAGTAGAAATTATGCAAATTATAATCAAATAAATTTTCCTTTTACATAAACGGATTTTCTGTATCAATTCATATAATTTTGCAAGTAAATTTATAAAAATATCAGTTTATATTTACGAGCAAAGTATGAATATATGATTATATAGTTTTGTAATCGAGGTAGGAATTGCAATGAATTTAGACTTTGCGCGGCATAAAATGCTGAGATAAACGGAATAAAACCGTCGAGTGTGAATCCCCACTATCAAAATAAATGGAATTCGTTTCTCCTTACTCGGTGCCACGCTTTAAATATAAAAAAAAATAAACAAAGTTAACATAGTCCTACGGTTTCAGACTACGGTACGAGACACCTTATAAACTAAAATGTATACACTGTAACGTTCGATCCCATTGTAAAAGCGCCGGGATAGCGCTTAAAATCGTAATTGTCTACTTTTTTAGAATATAAATATTAAAAATATTGTAAAAAACAAATTTTTAAATTAAATTTCAATTCAGTTACGGCGTATTTCGTGCCAGACATTTAGAAAAGTTATCGGTTTTAAGTAGTTCGGCGAATCACTGGCTAAAATAGTTTACAATTCTGAATTTATTAGGAAATAATTGAAATATTAAACCGTATTTTATTGCCGATTTTCATTTCTAATATTATGAAAACTGAAGTACTTTTCTTATAATCTCGATTATAAAGTAAAACTGGCGTAAAGATAATTTTCTGAAAGATTGTTGTTAATATTGATTTTAATTTTAGGAGTTTATGCTCCAAGTTTTTTCATTAATTAGTCTGCCTTATCTGTTTATCTCTTTATTATATCTTTAAGGACACGGATCCCCCAATTTGTCCGCTAGATTTTCGTGCAAATTTGTTTAAAATGAATTGAATGTTATTTGGCTGTTCTTATCAAACTGAATTCAATGTAAATAATTAAAGTTATTTGTTTTTGTATCTGGTTTTTAATTTTGGTTTGTGTCCAGACATATATGGGAAAACCCACGGTGAATAAATAAATAAATTTAACTGTAAAAATAATTACTTTTTAGAGAAATTATAGACTTATAGATAACTGTTTCTGTTTATATCTCGTTAATTGACTTAAAGTTAAAGATTAGATTAAGTTTTACCTGGAAGAAACTTATCATTAGACAAGCAGCTGCCTACTTTCGACTCCACCTTATCCAGCTGTTAATTAAGAAAACACGAAATTAGCGAATTTGTTCCTTTATCATATCTAAAACTAACTCACTACTTCCCGCCCGAGGGTTTCTCGGGTAAATATCGGTGGCCGTTTCTCCGTTTGACACTTAGGCGACAAAAATCAAATAATTTATCCGTTCGAAAGTCATTCATGAATTAATTTCACTAAAAGTTGCCATCATGACTCTCGTAATGCTGTACGTATTGCCCATGTTACTGGGTCGTACCTACGACATGAAAAATGACAAAGTAGGAGTAGATATATTTCCAGCTTCAGTTATTACGAATCCAGAGGTATGAAAGTTATATTTTACGTATATTTATATGGCGTATTTATTAATAATTCTTTTAAATCTTCAGAAAATAGAGCGGTATTTCACAGATTCAGAATATAGAATTATAACAGACAGTAAAGAAGCCAGAGATTTTTTAGACGCTTCCGGTAATTTGGCTCTCAAAATAAAAACTGGCAAAATAGACATCGAAGGAGCCGGAAGTTACTTGAAGGATGCGGCTTCTCGATCCAACAGCGTAGAAATTTTAGTGAAAACTCATTTCGAAACCGTAAGTAGGTCTATATTAATGTCGGACATTTAATTTCTAGACAGTTTAATCAATTTTGAAACTTTGTATTCAGGAAACTCACACCATCTCTTCGTCGGCCAAACCAGTGGAAAATTGGTACGATTTAGATAAAGAAGGTGTAGGAACTCATTACGCTCGAAGTATTACTTACGGAGGAGATCTGATAGCTTCTCTACGCTTCGTTGCAAAAAATTCTGCCGATAGAGAACTTATTAAAGCAACGATCCAGGGAAGTTTGCAATCCGATTCCGGTTCATTCGGTTTGCAACTGAAAGGTATTAATGGACTAAAGCGTAAATATTTTAAATACAAAGATTCCGAGCTAAAAAGTAAAAACCAACACTTTAGGTAAATTCAATCAAATTCAGCAAAATGTTAAAGATTCGGCTTCGTTAGAAATTCATTACTACGCTACGGTACCTATTAAGGGAGTCCCCAACGATATGGCCAGTTTGATGAGTCTAGTCGACAGTTTTGCGGATCAAACTAAAGAAGTAAACGGGGGTTTAGGAGTTCCACTCAGAATGGAATTGTTTCCTTTATCCGCTCTTAATAAGACTTATCCGACTTATATCCAAACATCGTAAGTGTTGGTTTACAAATCATTTGTTATTGTCTCGTAATTTAACGCCTCGCCTTTTACTTCTCAGGGCTCTTAACGACCAAATGGATCTGTTAGAGGAGTTATTTGATGACATTACCTCCGCTAAGGCGACTCTAAGAGAATGGATGAGGGTGACACCTCCCGTTTTACCCCTGAATTATTACCAGAAAGTAAGAAATTAAGTCAATAATCTATAATATAAAATTGCAATTTATTAACGATTTAATCGGAATTTATCTACGCAGATTGGAGAATATTCCGCATCCCTAGAAGCCATATCGGCCACGTTTTACGACGTAATTAGTAAATTAGATCTATCGAATCCCGAGAACGATGCGCAGTTTACTCCCGCATTCGCTATCTACGATAACGGCACCGGAATATTACCCGATAAATACACGAAAAAATTTGAAAAATTAAAAATGGACATGGTAAGATATAATTTATCCGTATTCATTTATATAAATCATTAAAATTTTGAGTTGTAATCGAGATTTACAATTTTTATTTACAGATGAAAAATGTCGAAGGTAAGTAAAAGACACTCGTAAATTTCACTTTTTTTTAAAAAAAATAATTTATGGAAAATTGTAGACATAAAAATGTACATAAATGTACCTTTGACAGCGCTCCAAACCGAAGGAGGTGGAGCCACATACGTACATTGGGGAAGTACAACCTGCAACGGAGCATCCGAAGAAAGTGTTTACAAAGGTTGGGCTGCCGGAGCCAAAGACGGAGGAACCGAAATACTTTGTATGCCGGAAGAAGAAAATTATAACAAAGAAGTGGCGATAGAAAAACAACACTATCACCTTAAACTTTTACAAATAGTATACAGCAGTCGGCAATCCGTTTATAGAGATTATATAAATAAAAACATTCCCTGCGCGTTGTGTCGCGTTAAGAAACACCGCAGTAGCGTAAGAATGATTCCCGGTACTTCTTTATGTAAATATGGTAATGTAGGCGATTTTAGGTATTCGGGATATTTAATGTCTACGGATGCCAAAACGCGCAAGAAGGAATTTATTTGCGTAGAAGGAAGCGATCCGGAAGTAAGAAGTAGCGCGGGAGAGACGATCGCCTTCACCGATGTATTACTGAAGTGCAACACTCTTCCTTGCTCCGCAGAAAAAGAAGGAAACGGAATTCCTTGCGCCGTTTGCGCCTTTTAAATGATTTCTCAGAATTAAATGTAGTACGTTTTAAAATATCTTGGAAAATAAAGTTAATGTTTAGAAATATGAAATACCTCATATTTTATGTGAAATTCGATACAATTAATGCCGTTTAGAGCAATTTCTGAAAATAATTAAATTAAAATTAATCATTTATGTCCTAAAATAATTTATTAATTAATTTTTACAAAAAATTAAAACACGGAATAACATATTTTTGTACGGCAACTATTCTTAATTAGTCACTTAATTATAATGAAAAGTGTAATTTTAATTACAAATACGTAAGCCAAGTTATCAAATTTGATATATTTATAGATTAGTTTATATAAGTTAATTTGGGTGAAATTTAAAAATGAAAAATGCCGAATTGAAGTCGCTCGTCGATATGAAATTTCTCTTAATATCACGAAATTGAATCGGTAGAACTCTCGTAATGAATGGAAGAAGAGAAGAAATTGGATCGGATCGACGGACTAAGGCCACGCAACGCGACGCAACGGCTATTTGTCGAGGAATGCGCCTACCGGAAACCGCCCCCTAATTACGTGTTAGACGCGTTAAGAAAAACCGGAAAAGTCCACGTAAGAAACCCATTGATCGGGCGCCACCAATTACTAGAATGAAATTGAATAGAGTCAAAAATCTTATTTGTTGTTTTATGTAAGCATCGCGATTATCTAATTAAAAGCTGGATACTTAATAAAATATTTTAGACTAACATCGTATAAGTTTTACATTAGACAAAACATAAATATTGCTTTTTTAATACTCGGGTGATGAATGTAGAAGATAATTGAAATATTTATCTGTAAAACGATAAGATAAATCATACCTATATGCCGAGGTAATTTTTCTTCGGTCGCAGTTAGGAGTTGCTGCGCGAAGATAATAGAAGATTTTTTCATTAATTTTAATCATGACGGTCATAATTCCTGTGTTGGCTGCCATGTATTTAGGGGGATCCTTCAATTTGTTTCAGTATCAGAGGGGGGCGGCTGATATTTATAATACAGAATCCCTTAAAGATAATATTCTGGTAATTTTATAATTAAACATAATTCTTTTTTATAAAAATGGTAGAAAATTTGTATTTGTTTTTCAGTCCATTAACCGTAGTTTGACGAAATCTCAGTATAAGCTAATAGAATCGAGTAACGACGCCAGAGATTTTCTCGATGTCGACGGCGAATTATCCTTAAGAATTAAATCGGGTCAAGTAGACGTGGATGGGTCGGGATCTTATCTCAAAGACAGTTCCTCCAGGGACAATTTTGTCGAACTTCTTGTTAGAGTACAACACGAAACGGTAAGTAATTCTAATCGTTGTAGATACAGTTTTTACGTTAATCCTGGCCCATCAATTTACAGGTTACCGAAACCATTCCCTCTTCAATTTCGCCTAATACGGACTGGATGGAGAAATCTCCTAAATTAGTAGGTACTCACTACGTCAGAAGCATAACGTACGGAGGAGAATTAATTGCATCTGTCAGGCTGAAAGCCATCAACAAACAAGAACGAGAGAAAATAAAAGCGGCCGTTACGGCAAATTTGCAATTTACAGGAACGCTTGATCTAGGAGCTAAAGGTATAAGGAAAATATAACGTTTAGAATTTCGCATTAATAATAAGTGGATTGTATTTTTACAGGTAATTTCGATAAATTGCGTAAAGATTTAAAAGGAAGTTACAGAGAGGAAATCCACACCACGGCTACAGTTACACCCAGAAGCCCGCCGCAAACGATAGAACAATTAATGAAATTAGTTGACGAATACCCCGAAGATGTAATGAAATTGAATAACGGTAAAGGAAGACCCCTAAGAGCGGAACTATATCCATTAAGCGCATTTAAACGAGATTACGTCAACTATATGAAAAACAGGTACTGTACTTATATACGCCTATCTAAAATTATAATTAACTTCTTTAAAGTTGTATATATTATTTTAAAATATCTATTATCATATATTTAGCGCATTAACCAGTCTTATAGACGATATAGACGCGAAGTACGACGATCTGAGAATCGCTCATGGTGAGTTTTTGTCGTGGAATGCGAGATTACCCTACGACATATCGGAAGAAAAATCCACTAAGGCGAGAGAAAGAATTCGATTAAAATTTTACATTAAGTAGAATTAGAATTAAATGATAATTAAAATAAATTTAACAGGTAGAAGAATTCTACGAGAAACTGGATACCGCATTAAACGAATTTAACAACGCCATTAGCAAAATAGATACAACTGTTACCATCGAACAGTTCGAAGAAGCATTCAAAGCTTACGGAAGCGATGGCGATAACAGTCCACAGAAATATCAAAGAAATTTGTGGATTTTGAAAAATGAAGTTGTGAGTAAAACAACTAATTCTATTTTAAAAAATTTTAAATAAATTAGTAAATCCATTGATATTTTTTCAGACTGGCGATAGCCTCGGTAAGTTTCTTATATTACATCTTTTTGAAGTCGTAAAATATGAAATTATATGTCATTTTGCATTCTTTGTACAGAATGGGAAAGGCCTAACGGATTTGGTACAAAATATACTCACTGGGGAGGCGAAGAATGCCCAAATTCGGATAACGTACGTTTAATACAGGGTGAAGCCGTAGGACCACTCTACTCTTCGTTCGGAGGCGGAGAGAACGTTCTTTGCATGTCCGATGACTTATCGGAACTTCCTCCGCTTCTAAAAAAAACAATGACCTTTCTTCAACCCGTGAGCTATTATAATGAAGAAGACGAAGTTCTGGGTATAAAATGTTCGGAATGTTACACACCGGGCGCCAGTTCGGTGGCAGTCTTTCCCGGAAGTTCATCCTGCCCCGAAGAATGGAGATTAGAATACCAAGGAGCCATGTTAGCCGAAGCGTATTCTCGCAGCGGAAATAAATTTATTTGTTTAGACTTAACAACTGAAGGCGAACCCGTTGCGAATAAGGATTCGTCTATGAAATTGGCTAATATTTGGTACAACGATGAGAATTGGGTGTCTTGCGTAGTTTGTACCAAATTCTGATTTCATCGATTTAAAAATATGCGATTGTGGATTTTTACTAAATAACTAGTTGAAATTTGCAAAGATATTTGTTAAAACGAAATATATATATTTAAAATTTAAAAATAAATTTTGAAATACTTTCGAAATTTCTCTCCAGTGTTCTTGGTCTGTGGAAGATTTTATCCGGTAACACTCGATAAAATTTTCACACAAGCCACAAAACCACGTCAAAGCCGTACCCATTTTATGGTAGTTTTTTTTTATTTTCCAGAAACTTACTCCGATCGCTTGACAGAATAACAATCGGAGAATAAGACCGGATATTCGTGGCTATTTCATTAATTCAGTCAACTGAAATCGTTGGCAAAAAATATAATTATTACGCCATCGCCATCAAATGTTCTTATTAGAGAAGGATTCTCGGCACAGATTTGTCATTTTAAACTAAATACAAAACGATTTAATGTTAAAAATTGTAAGAATTAACGCTAAACTAATATAAATGTGCTTCAAAATCCTTTTAGTAGGTCTAATCAGTCATCTACAAATGTAAGCGATAACAATGAATAAAATACGAATCGTTTACATCTTCAAAGTAACAGCGCATTTACACGTTACGCATAAAACACATTGAAATATATAATTATAAAATATACCGTATGATAATTAATTATATATGGGAGCGTTCAATAGGTAATGTTTCCATATTCGTATACAAGTTCAGTGGTAAGATATCGAACTATAACTAAAAGTATTTCTAACTTAGTCTTCTTCGGGTTGTTCTCGAACCATTTCTTTGTGGCGGCTCGAACGTCCTCACGGGTGAAACCAATTCCTTCGAGATTTCGCTCGAGAGTAGAAATCGACGAAACGTTTGAGGGCGTCGAATCTGGCTGCAAACAGAGAGTTCGGGAACTTCAAATCCGAGTTTCCGCGCGGCTTTTAGTGTGAAAGCGATGGCGTTCAGTCTAGGGTAGTGGCGTGGCGGAATCGTTGGCTTTTTCCACTTCTAAAACCATAAACTGTCATTAATTACTCGGCACACTAACTTATAGACTATCCTCGATAAAATCTCCCGAATTGATTTTTATTTAGGGGAGACCGGGGCAAGATCGGCATGTTAAGCTTTGCTTAAATTTTGTGTAATAAATACTGCTGTAAACTGAAAAAAAAGCTTTGCATATTGTCTATTGGAATATTACCTTACTACAGAACTGGTTAAAATCAGTTTGGAAATAAAAATAATTAAAATAATTACAACTTTACAAGAAGAGAGAAATTGACGAAGTTGCCCCGGGTATAGGGGCAAGATCGGCAACTTCTCTCTTTTTGTAAAGTTGTAATTATTTTAATTATTTTTATTAAAGTTGCCCCTGGTATAGGGGCAACAGTAATGGGGCAAGATAGGCACGTATATAAAATTATGTTATTAACAATGTATAAGTTGGAATTCACTATTAAAACAAAGAAATACAAATCCAACACCCATTTAATATTATTACAACGAAATGCAAGTTGAAAGACATATATACACGAATAACAAATGCAAACATGTTTTCATTTATCATCTGTTTGATTTTTATCCTTTGCTTCTAATGTGGCTTTATGTTGCCGATCTTACCCCGCTAGTCATGATTTCGAAACATTAAGTACAACCCTGAGAACAGAATGCCGAGCCACGATCTGGCCACGTGAATAAGTTGAAGTTACATCCTTCTAACAGGAAAAGTAACTTTCGTTATCATGCAATTATAACAAAACCTGCCAATTCAATATAAATGGAAAAAAAATATTATATGGAATTCAACGAAAATGAAAATTTGCTTGATAATTCAACTACGCTTGTTGGAGAACAATAAAAACACTACACTCAACAAGCCACCAATGAAACTCAACTGCCTAACCTATAATCAAAGTCTCCTTTTAATTTGTTTTTTAAAAAAAGCGCTTGACAAACTTGCCCCGCATGCCGAAGTTGCCCCGGTCTCCCCTAAATCGTTAAAAAATTATTTTGCTATTATTTTAATAATTCGAGAATAAGCATCCAATGTAAATTTAGTCTATTTATAGATCGATCTAATTAATTTACGATAATTTGTATAAAAATCTAAATGACGAAGATGTTTCGAGCCCAGGCCCTATCCCAATTTACTCAATTTTAATCGCGTAAACAAAAACAAACAATTGCTTTTTGCTTACTTTCTAGAGACGTAGGTAGAAAAGCGGATATGAAATAGGCCTAAGAGGGATTATCTCCCAACAACGTACTATCTTATATTAAGAAGACTTTACGACCTTCCCCCGGACATTATTATTATACCTGAATTTTTATTTCCTAATTTAATTCCATTAAGTTCGTTTAAATTAACGTTTTAAATTTCTACGTTAACCACAATTCCTTACAGTACATTTACCCCGTATTTTTGAAGCAAAGTTTATTTGATAAATCAATGTAAAATCTTCAATTTACCAGTGAAGTTCCGAAAATATGCGATCAAATTTCATTATATAAAAATAAACTATTGGGGGTTTTTAAATTGTTTTAACATCCGCTTAATTATTATTCCAAAGACTTCATACGCGTAATTTCAGTATGTTTAACCATCGAACAGTTCTTATGTAATTTAAGTACTTGGATGGCCTCTTAAAGATGTTAGATCGGTGGAGTCGGATTCGATCCTAATTCATACTACCATAATTTTTCACGGGTATACGAGCCACTCTCCGCTATTCGACCCTTAGAGTTTTTAAATCAAAGTTTCTCAGAAATTTGAAAGCGCGTGGCCCGGGTACGAGGCCCGAAAAACCGACGTCCGAGCCGGCCCCGTTTACACATACCAGCGATGTAGAAACGTATACGGATTTATTTTAAACAACTAATTCGGCCGCTTGTATACAAAAAGTTTATTCGCTGATAAAACTAAGCATTTCTTAAACTAAAATTTTTCTATTCTCAAAATCTAGAGAATCGAATTCTCGAAATGCAAATTTTAAATTACTTTATCTATTAGAATTGAGATATCAAAATGCCGGTAGAGACGGTAATTAAGATAATTTCGACTCGATAAAAATATTAAAAAGGAATTTTTATCTAATAAACTTTAATAATCACTTATATCAGCGTGAGATCTGGCATGTGCCATTTTAGATACCGCGAAAACTTCGGAGTAGAAAAACATTTCTTAAAAATATATTCGATTTTAATAAATTAAGAAGAGAAAAGAAATAACCATGACGACCATGATGTATATCCTGCCTTTGCTGTTAGGTAGAACTTTTGATATTAGAACGGACAAAGTAGGAGTCGATATCTTTCCAGAAGAAGTAATTCGTAACCCAGAAGTAAGGCCTTTTTCTTCTTAACTATAAGAATGCAATTGTGACACTTAGATTAAGAATTTCGCCATTAATTTTATATATTTAAACAGATACACCACCTTACTACCTTCCGAAGTGATTTTAAAGTAATTCGAGAGTTAAGAGATATCGCAAACTTGCTTAAAATCGAGGGAGAACTGTCTTTAAAGGTGAAAGCTGGTTTTGCAAAACTCGGAGCCAGTGGATCGTATCTAAAAGATCACGTCTTTCGCCATGACGTAGTCGAAATCTTGACTTTTGTATATTTTCAAACGGTAAGAGAAGTAATCTAGTTACGATAATGCAAATTAAGTCTAGAAATTAAAGAATTCTTAGAGAATGCAAATTTAACTCTAGAAATGCTTCGAGTTTTAAAAGTTCTTAATACAATTTAGGAGGAACATAAAATTCCCTCGAGTGTTTCTCCTATTTCTAAGTTGAATGAACTTTCACCCGAAGACGTAGGAACTCATTACGTAAAGAGTATCCTTTACGGAGGAGAGTTGGTAGCGTCTTTCAAATTTCGTGCCATAGACAAGAAGGACATGGAGTCTATTAAAGCCAGTGTCGACGGAGCTTTGGGTAGCGAAGATTCTATTAATGTGGAAGTTGCGGGTGAGATATCGAGCCGTAATTAACTGTAAGAAAAATACACCGAAGCTATTTAATAATCGAAGCAATGAGCCAACGTAATTTAAACTTACAGGAAAATTAGATAAACTTCGGAAAGATTTAGAAGGAGTAGCCAGTTTGGAAATTTCTTATTACGGTACGGTTCCATTAGACGGAGTAGCTCTAACATTATCCGGATACCGAGATTTAATTTCAAAGTTTAGAGATCAAGTAAAATCGATTAATAGCGGCCTGGGTGTTCCAATAAAAGTACAATTAGAAGAAGTAGCCACGTTGAACGAGAAATTCAAGTTTGAGAAGAACAAGTTAATTTAATTATAATATTAAATTAATAGTAATACACAAAATTAATTAATAATTATTTTCTATATTTAGAATTTCGGTAAGCGATTTAAAGAAGCTGGAAATATTATTCGACGATTTAACCGTTACGCATAAAGCAATAAGTGCTTGGTTAAAAGACGACGGAGTTTCGATAACGAAGGAACAAGAGAACAGGGTGAGATTTCCATTAAGTTATACGTAATATATTTACTTTCGAACTGACCATGTTCAATTTGTAGATAGACGGGTTATTTAGAGAAATTACAGTGATACTATATGTATTTTACGAAACAATTGCGAAATTAGACGATAAAGACAGCCCGCAACATATTCTTAAAGCATTTCGGGCATACGGGAATGGAAAAATTAAAGGAATACCCGGAAAATATAAGAAGGCCTGGGAAAGTATGAAACAGGAAATGGTAACGCCCTATATTTAATTGTAAATTACCAATCTAGTCGACGAAATAACCATTTAAATTTGTTTGGAATATTTTTGTAGATCGTTCCCGGTAAGAAAAATACAAAACTTATTTACGGAACCCGATTTAATTACGTATTGAAAATAATTCGATTATAGAAACATTAAAAGCCGAAAAAATGACTTACGTCCACTGGGGAAAGAAGAATTGCCATAATTTGAATACTACGAGTTTAATACAAGGTTACGCCGCAACATCGACGGATGAAACGTCGCCCGCCGAGATTCTTTGTCTTCCCGAAGTTCCACAACTTTCCGATAAAGCCGCGGACGGTACAGAAAACAATATTGCCGCGGTACGTTTCGGCACAGCCCGCCTAAATCCGTTTAACGTCGATATAAATTTTGAGAATCCCGTCAGTTGCGCGGTCTGTTTGGGACTGGAAAGAAGCACCGTTGTCACTCTAGCTGGAAGAACGACGTGTCCCGACGGATGGAAAATAGAATACCAAGGATACTACGTAGCCGGAAGAGAAACGTCCGCTAAATCACAAGCCATTTGTGTCGATAGGAATCCCGAAGATGCGCATCCAGTCGAAGATGCGGGAAAATTTCTTTTGGCTGTGACATTTAATGAAAAAGTCATTCCTTGCGTATTATGTTCTAAATAACAAATTTCATATAAAACGAAAAAATAATGTTTCGTCTGTATTTAGCATTAAATTGATACATTAAATATTTTAAAATACGAGTCAATTTATATTTAGAATAGGGTTTATTCCCTCGGGCTAAATGGGGGATCGATCTTGTCTAAGAATAGTAATCCGTAATGGATGGAAGCAAAATTGGCGGGGTTCCCGATTGGATTCGAATTCGAATTCTGCCTGGCAGTAGTAACGGGTCTGCCTGGCGTAAATTAAATAAAGACTACAACTTAGAATCTCATTCTTCAAAGCTACTCTCTACTCTACAGCTTGTTTTCGTGTTTTTAAATATAGGTTTATTACTGTAAAGTTCTTGAATGTTATGGCTTACTGCGACAATAGAGTCTAAATCTAAAATAGAAGCATATTTCATCAATACCACGCAGTCTGCTTTTTACATTTAAAATAATTTCTGAGAATTCCGAGAAGGTAAACGATACTAATTCAATTTTGATAAAAATATTTTAATGATTTACTACGGCAAATATTAAAAGATGGTTGGTGTAATACGTATATTTTAAGCCGTTATATTATAAATGACCATTCGGGTCGACTCAAAGGTCTCCGTACAAAAACAGACATCCGAAGGGATGCGCTTGTAATGAATGTACTGTACAGTACACGTATTAGAAGTATTAACGGGCATTTCCCACGAATGAGCGATACGCATTTATATATTCTTTCTTTTAAATTATTTTATATCTCGTATATCTCGCGAAGGACGAAATCTTATAATATTTATGAAAAAATTATTTTAAATTCCATTCTCTTATTTAACGGCGCTACGCACTTTTTACGTGGGAATGGCGCGCTTTCAAAATTTAAGCTTCGAAGAGAGCCAACAAAAACGTGCTCCTCTTCCCAAACCTCCCCATACATACAGAAATTACCCTCGAATCTTTTTGTATTTCTCGACGTTTCGCGGTCCCGAGACCAAAAATGTAAAAATATCGGAGGGTCGTCTTTTGAAATTACTGAGGATAAAGACCCTGTAATAAAATTTATCAAAGAAGACCAGTCGAGCCATTTGGCTCGAGTATTTATGGGATCTCGAAAACATTGGTCATAAATTATTCAAATCTATAAAATTGCCATTTTTATGGATAATCGATATATAGAATTTAAGCAAATTGTGCCGCTAAACTTTCGGGCTTCCATTTGCATAAAGGAAAATCTAGTAACAGAATATTTCTGTTGTACGAATTTTTATCAAAAATAAATATATATTTTTTAGTTATTTTTAAACAATTAAGTAAAAATTTTTAAAATTATGCCCCGTGGGCGCAAATAGGACTTTTCCCGCATTATTGACCCGGCCGAACTGACTGTAGGCATTTCGCGAGAGATCATTCTTGAGAGCCCGTCAATATATAAGAAACTGGCCATTCAGATTCGAACCCGGTTCTCCCGAGCGGTAGACGGGCGCCTTAGTGGCATTTATTTCCATAGAAATTTTTTTTAAATATTCAAAATATGTTTATGAATATTTACTAAAAATAAAAATATTTTTGTCTTTGGTAAGTTTATTAAATAATGTCAAATTGAATCTAAGAGATTACAATATTTGGTGAATTATTACTAATTTGTCATTTGAGATAAACAGTGAGAAAATGGTCGAATAAAATTTGCTAAATAATAAAAATATTATCTTATCTCGTCTCCAAATGTTAATTCCGACATCTACTTTGGAAAAATTCAGCCGAAACTTTCGACGATTGTAAGTGTTAATAATTTTATATCTAACGTATAAGTTAACCAATGATTTATATTTAATATTCAGCGATTTTAAACTTTGGAAGGGAAAGTTAAGTAACTCGTATGTTATTCTGTTGAGCCGTTTTATTTCTCACGTCGACGTTGTTTAGTCTCGCTTATTTAATTAATAATTCAGAAATTTTGTCGTGTTAAAAGTAGATTCCTTCGTTAAATTAATATTTACTTTTTGTGTAATTTAAGAAAGAATCATTTAATATGTCTTAAAAACTTAAAAACACGCGCTTTTATTGGTCGTGTTTTTCCAGGTTGGAGATTGCCCAGCCCACCGCATACATCGATATAGCGCATTTATGTATACAAACCGTGATTAAATTCTAAATTTGTAATGTTTATCGGGTTTCGGGGTGGAGAAGATGTCGGGGTGGAAAACCCCCTAATTCGCTCAACTCGAGTTAAGCTTAAAGCGTAGCCGGCAGGACGCTCGAGGTGGCTACTCCAGGGAGTCCGGGAACGAATCCGGCTGAGTCAAAAAACACCGGGAATTTTTGGGAGATGATTCGTCCCGGAAAAATCGAGTCTGGTCCCTCATCGCCCGGCCTCCCTATTGCCGGCCTGGCCAAACCCCCGACGGGCTGAAAAAAGGCCCCTTAGTGCCCATAGGGCGGAAAGACTTAAAAGCTCAAAACGAATATTTTAGTTATAATTGTCTTCGGTTATACGATCTACATGAAAAAACAACACGTAGAAATCAAAAGTGATGAAATGGTTTAACCCCACAAGAGACAACACTTACACAATTTGAATTAATTTATCAAATCGTATTTGGAAATTTATTCTAAAAAATTATTTTATTTAAACTAAAGAAAAGTTTAAAATAGAATGTAAAAAACTTTAATATTTAAATCTAACTTAATAATATAACGCAATAGATAATCACAGGCTTATATACCAAATATCAAAGCAATCTTTAGGTATTGGCACTTAAAGATGGCTTCACGCCGTTGATTACACTAAGCACTCGCCGATAGAAGGTAAAGCGGTCGAAGATAACCAAATTATTATTTAATTTAAATGCTATTTAAACGTAAGACTTTTTTACAGGATAATGTGAAAACTTTAGTTATAAAATATCTGTATTAAAGTACTGGCAGAATGGCTATCGTTACGCTCTACATGCTACCCATGTTGCTTGGAAGAACGTACGACATTGGAAAACACGTAACGGGAGTCGATATATTCTCAAAAGAAGACGTAAATAATGTTTTGGTAAGTAAATAATTATAAATATTTTAAAATACCTTACGTAATTCTAAAGTTTATTTTAATTTATTTCAGACTATAAATAATTATAATGCCAATTCTCGTTACACGTTAGTCGGAAGATCGAACGAAGCTAAAAATCTTTTAGACGTCTCCGGAAGTTTATCGTTGAAGATTAAAGGTCTGGGGATGAAGATTAGTGGAGGGGGCAGTTATTTACGGGATACTTCAAAACGCAGTAGATCTACAGAAATACTAATTCGAGTACATTACGAAACTGTAAGTTTACTTAAAATACTCTTCTTAATCCGCGTTTATGTTAATAGAATCGTTTCATTTTACGAAACCTCAGGTAACTAAGACCTTGCATTCGAGGATCAAACCTTTATCCAACTGGAGAAATTTTAAAACTTTGGGTACGCATTTTTGTCGAAGTATTACTTACGGAGGAGATTTAATAGCGTCTTTAGTATTTAAAGCGGAAAAAGAGGAGGATAAAGAAAAAATACAGGCGCACGTTCAGGGAGAACTTCAAGTCGGTGGCAGTTTCGATGCTAATATACAAGGTAAGAAGATCTTATTAGAAATTTATAATTTACATTTTAAGGTCGCGTAATCGAAGCGGTTGAGAGGTCGGCTTACCTCTCTGGGAGAATCGGTCGGGATTGACAGTCGCAAAACCTCAGGAATTTTTCGGGGGTAGTCTGTCCGGATTCTCCCTGTTCCTCTCCACCCAACTGCACCGTTGTGAATCTAGACAAATCTGTGATGAATATGGAAAAAGGCCTTCTTACGGGACCTAATAAGAAAAAAGGCCGGCTTTGAGGGCCTTTTAATGGAAAAAAGGCCCCGTAAACGGACCTTTTCCACGAGATGGAAAAAATTTTTTTCGTATATGAAGTTATAATAAATATTTATAACGTTCTATAACTAAGTATACTTATGTTGTATACTTTATAGATAAAAAATTAGTCTACATTTTTATATTGTTAAACTAGTTATGAATTAATATTACTCTATAATGTGAATACAGTAGAACCTCGATTATCCGCCCCCCGATCAACCGATCCCTCGGTTAACCGACCGTCCTAGTCGGCAAATTTCAAATGTCCGCTAGTGATGTGGCGCTACAATATTTGGCTATGTCTTGGCTACTTTAATATTATTTTCACGTGTTTTAGCTGGCAACACTCATTCGACCGTGAAAGGGAGCCAGTATTTAAACGAGGCTTAATTTTCTAATTTTTAACGATACAATAGCGACGATTATTATTTTAGAAAATTTTTGTTAGGCTTAACATCGATGAAAATTCAACGCGAAGTAGGTTAATAGCGATATACTAATATACTAATTACATGGGATATAATAATATACTACACTAATAATGGATTTTTTCATACTTTTCGGTTATCCGACTTTTCAATTATCCGACCAACCCCAGTCCCCAATTAGGGCGGATAATCGAGGTTCTACTGTATTTCAATATTATTGGTAACATATTTTTTTTCCGATCAACGGCTTATCACAGTATGTGGTATCTGTTATAGATATAATCTACAGTTTATATTTTAATAATTTCTGAAGGAAAATTAAGCAAGTTACAAGAGGATCTTAAAGGGACCGCATCCATGGAAATTAATTATTACGCTACGGTACCCGTTCACGGAATACCGAGAACCTTGAAAGGCCTTATGGAAATAGTAAGTAACTTTCCCCAACACGTCAAAGATATCAACGACGGATTAGGAGTTCCTTTAACAATGGAGCTATATCCACTGAGCTTCTTGGATACTTTCTTCCCTCCGGAGTCGCATAACATGTAAGCTTAAATGCAAATTTTCAACGCTATTTCTTTACGTATGAAACTTTGTTTTCGCGTTTAAAGTATTTTAGAGCCGTATATGGAACGTTTAGAAGTTCAATTAGACGACCTCCTGGCTACAGAACAAAGTCTGGCCGATTGGTTATCGAAGATTCCTCCATTGCAACCGCCTAAATTCTTCCAATCGGTAACTTCGATTTAATTAATATTTTAAATTTCACTACGGCTTATCAAATATATTTGTTTTACGACAGATCAATCGATTTAGAGCAAAAATTCAAAATATTATGGAACAATTTCGCCAAACCATCTCCGATTTAGATACATCGTCTTCTGGAAGAACCGAGCAGTTTCAATCGGCTTTTCAGCTCTATCAGGGAGACGATTCGTCGCTTCCGGATAAATATCTACGTCAATTCCGACGGCTTAAAAGTGAACTGGTTAGTACTTTTTTTTACTGAATTATAACAAGTGGCGGTTTTAGGGATAGGTAATCGATGCTAGGGTTTCACTAAACATCAAACCCGACAGGTACGAATTAATGTGATAAGGCAACACGACACTTAAGCGTTAAGTCGCGGAGGCGCTTCCCGATAGGATTTTCTAGGGGAAACTGGCCTCAATTTAGGTGTTAAATAAGCGAGGAAACCCCGGTTAACTCCACGTTGCTAGCCCGTTTGTCAGGCGCGAACCAGCCACCAACTACCAATATTCGGTGACGTTATCCACTCCGCCAGTGGCGGTGCACACAATGGAGGTGATAGAACGACCGCGTGGCCCAGGAGTTAAAATGGCGGTCTGGGAGACCCGGAATCAAATCCGAACGGAACGAAAACCCGCAGGAATTTTTCGGGCCGGGCCAGTCCCTCGCCATCGGGTGGATCTGGTCCGGTCCGGCCCAATCCATAACGGGGTTGCTAAAAATGACCTTCTTAGCGCCCACAGAACGGAAAGAGTTAGAAAATGGAGGTGGCCGGGTGACGAGGGAGAAGACCCAACACATTGGGGACAGGCCCGCCATTAAAAATTTCTGAGGACCTAGGTAAGACCGAGGATCTGGTAAAACTTTATATATGGTATATAAAACTAATGTAAAGCCTCGTTAAATCTAAAACCGCCAATAAATATTACATATAAATATTTACAGAATTTTATACTTTAAGAAATTAATATAACAGCCGACTAATTATAAATTTATTTATTTTTAACACAGGAAACAGAATACCCAGGTACGTTAATAACAATATTAAATCGCATGTTTTACGATTAATAAATTATACATTATAGTTTTCGTTTTCTGTATTAATAGAAATTCGATCAGACTTGGGGGGCGCAAAATATATTAACTGGGGGCAAGAAGATTGCGAAAATCCCGGAGTGGAGACGTCGTATTCCGGAGTTATGGCGACGACGGAGAAAGATTCCTTCTGCCTTCCATCGGATAATTATCTAGAAGATGCGAAAATTGCTTCATCCAAATTTAATCCAATTATATCCGATGTTAAATGTTCTTTGTGCAACGCGATTAATAGAACCGTTACGTTTGTTCAAGCGGGAAGAAAAGAATGCCCCGAAGGTTGGACTTACGAGTACGAAGGCGAATTAGTGGAAGCTGGAACGTACTTGTGTATGAATCGTGGAAATAATATAGAAATGCCCTTTAAACGCGTTACCGCTTCTTGCGGAATTCTCGCTTGCGATAATTACGAAGGAAAACGGCTAAATTGCGTAGTGTGTACTAAATAAAAGCATTTTTACGGTGGCGAAAGATGCAATTAATCGAGTAAAAAAATAAACGATTCATTTCAAATCTAAAATAATAAAATGCGTTAACTTTCTAAGCCAAATTTTTGGAAACAGAGTTTTCAGAATAAATGTATTAATTAACAATAAACTTTTACAGTTTCCTTTTATTTTTATATAAGACTGTCGTTTATACCGTATCTCCTTTTATAAGGGTGTAAGAAGTAAACCAAATTCTAAAGTACAGTAGTCACCACCGCGGTTAACGCCTCATCCAATGAATAGGTTTTAAAAAAAGTATACTTACGTGACGCTTCACTACTGCATTAAAATCAACTACGGCGTTTCCAACTTTTCAGTTTCGAAGAGACTTTACAATTAGCAGTAGCGTGCCGTGACATTCGACGATAGGGAAGCTGTTTCTATAAGAAGCCGACTTCCGGGGCAATCGGTTAATTCTTTCTTTAAATGTATTTTTAATAGATTATTTATCCGACGTACTTAATAAATAAACGAGTTCGATATAATTACCTCCGTTATTACATCCTACTTCGAATGCTCTTTCAACAAATAATCCATTTAATTAATGGTTAAATTTTACAACCGGGACTCTTCTTTTGTCTCTAAAAGCTCATTTTAGAATTATAGATTCCTCCATCACGATACTATCGATAGGGCGGGCGCCGCCATCTTTCTTTCACCGTCGTTCCTAAGTGCCTACAAACGGCAGCGCGCTCCCGTGGCGGAGCGACCGCTGTTAACGAACGCACCGCAAACTGTTACCAGTCGACGATGCTCACGCCGAGATCATCTTATAGGATTAATAATCCTCTGGTAAAATATTTACTTAAATAATAAATATTTTACCTATGAATAAATGAATAATAAGGATTTAAATAAGGATTTAACAGCGTGTTTTTTAATTTTTGGAACCTAACCTCCCTTTTCGCACTAGTTCTTTGTTTCGTATAACACGGATTCGCGTAACACGGCAATTTTTTGGAACGTAACACCCGTGTTATACGGGGGTTACCTATACTTCTTAAGTAGAAGTAAGTCGATCTCGAATATTCGTAGTCTCGGGAAAAAGTGGAAAGACAAATTTTTATGACAAACGGATACGTAAATCGTAAATTTAAAGAAAATAAATTCTAGAGCTTTTTCTGTACCTGGCGCGTCTCTCTCGTTCATTCGAAGTAACGGTTAATTTTTTAACATTATACGAGAATTGTACACGTTTTTTTCTACATCCCCTTAAAGATGGGATGTACGAAATCGTAATATCGCCGGTTTAACGTCGAAATCCGCCAGTAATATAAATCGCAGAGCGGAATAAATATATCGAATATTTTAACGGATTTTTTTTAAAACTCCCGTCGACTATAGAGAAAAATATGGTAAAAACATACGGGTAAATTCTTATCGGCGGACTTAAGTTATAAATCTACTGGCGATTGGCGTAATCGGGCCAGGAACCGGTCCCGGATAGAATCGGATGCGGTATACGCGTAGCGTCCACCCGAGGTGCTAGGCTTCGGCCGGCTAAACCGGGTGAGATCGGCGCTCCGTAAAGCGAACGCGCCAATCCGGCTTTTCGGATGCCGACGATACGGCGCTTCCACTCCGCTACTCCGCCACTAATATTCGAATACTCGATAGTGATCTTATCTTTTTTTCACGCGTAGTATAGAAATTTGTAATAAGATACGTAATGCGGTTATAATAAAATAATGCGCCATTATTTTCGTATAATTAAAATTAATACGTATTTACTTTTTAGAAAATACGAGGGAAGCGCCGTACCCACCGCTTCTAATGACGGCGCGCCACCGAACTACGGCGTTTCGAACTTTTCAGTTTCAAAGAGACTTTACAATTAGGTAGATGGATGGGAAATTTCGATTATCGTCCGAATCTTCGTCATATTTGTACACTGCGTTAAATGTCTCTCGTTGTCCACAGAAATGGAAATAAGATAGATACGGGACTTCAGAATACGAATGCGGTACCATCTACGAGGAATCCGGAATCGAATTCGGGATAATCGATCTAAGAATTTTTCATCAGTTATAACTTATAACTAATGAAAAATTCTTATCCGCTACTTATAACTGACTTATATCTGACTTATCCGGACATCCTGACTTATACTTATATCTGACTTATCCGGTACTTATAAGTACCGGATAAGTCAGGCCCATCCGGCCGCTCCTATCGCCAGCCTGGACGAGCCCACCGCCAGTACCGAAGAAAAAGGTCCTCTAGGCCCGTAGCGTAGAAAGAGCAAAATAAAAGATCAAAAAACCCTAAATTATGATCTTGTTTTACGCTCGATTTGGTCGGCAAATACCGCATAAAATGAAATTTTGCGTAAATTTGTGTTCCAAACAATTAATTCGGGTGACGGCTGGCGCGAGTCCTGTAAGGCTGGCGTCAGGCCCGAGGGTAGAGCGGGACTCTTTAGCCAATATATTTTGAACAAATAGCTCGATGTACCGTACGTGGACTGTACGGGAAAACGCTGTTAATAGCGAATGAAAATAGTCTCGGCGAAAGATCTACGACGAGAATTATAAAATTACGTAGTACATAAAATTTAACAGTAACACCAGTATTAATAAGGTTGTTTAGGGGAATAATAAGTTTAATCGGTTTTAATTCGATCGAATACAGCCACGAAACGCGTGGGCGATTGGCCAAAGGACTTTCAGGAGGGTTTTCGAGGCAAACCCGACCCGCCACCGACTGCCCGCGTTCGGTGGTTCGGCCGCTAAAGGCTGGCCGGGCCGTGGTAAAAATGGAAAAACTACGGCGTTACAATAGGTAAAATATTATTTGGCTTCGTCTATTAACGAAGTTAAAGCTCCATTTAATTTTAAAATTTATATTTAAAACGAAGCGAGGAATCGAACCGAATCGTCACTTACGTCGTCAATAAATTTCCAAAATAAAAAAAATTCACCGATAAGAAACATTTTTGCTTTAAAATAAAGCCCGGTTCAAAGAGAATATNAATTATTATACAATTTTACGTAGTATTTTAACTAAATTATATCCTTCTATAATGTTTTAGATGCTAGTAATTTGCCAGATTTATTAAAAGAATGTTTAGCCGATGGTAAAAGCAAAGTTAACGAAGTAGGAAGAAAGCTACGTTTAGTGGCCGACAACTTTAATTCCGCTTCGACGATTAAGGTAAATTTAATTGCTATAATCTAGAACTTAGGGCCCGGTTTTATTCTTAAAGACGGTTTAAATATAATATACACCGTCCATTATTGTTTGGTCTTGGCCAAACAATAATGGGCAGTGTACGAAGGAGGAACGCTTTGTCGAAGATGAAAAGTCGACATCAATCGAAAGTTCTAGGCGGGGGGCTGGATTTAGACTCGTTAGAGTCCTAAACTATAATATAGATAGAGAGGAATATATATACGAAGGACGTGGTATATATACCACGTCCTTCTCCCCTTTGACGTAAAAATGAGGTCCTAAAGTATAGATGGTAAAGTCGGGCCCTAAGCCGCGACTCGTTTATCCGGCATACAGACCCGGCCTGGTTTTTAGGATATTTAAGGACTAAGAATTTTTAAAAAGTATTTAAGATATTTTTTAAGAGTTTCGAATTTATTTTGTTAAATTCTCCTTAAAGTTTATTACGTAAATACAAATAAATAAAAGTAGTAAATAACTAGTAAAACTTTATCTTTACTGCAAAAATCCGTCTAAAACGGAACCCGTAAAAAGAAAGGAGAGCCGCCCAAATTGGTAAATCGTTAAGACGGAAGGCCACATTTTTCTAAAGCATAATTTACGAAAGAATCAAAAGATTTACTTTTAGTACGTAAACGCTTAACCTCCGAACAACGGCCGCTTTTAACGTTCCCCTTAGTGTCCGTCGTTCGGAGGTTTGACCCTATTCGCTCTCCGTTGCGAAAACTTACGCGGTATCGATAGTTATGGGACGAATTTATTAATTAAAATAGTTTTCGATGACAATCAATGTATACAGAGAGGAATATTACAGCTTACTTAAGATATTTACTACCAAACTATTATATAAAATAAGAAAAATCCTCGACCATCGAGCGCGACAAACTTGGACGCATCTCCCGCTAAGTGGGAATGCAATCGCGCTTTAGTTAATAAAAGATACGACAATAATTCCATGCAGATTTATTTATTATCGAGTTGGCTTTAATTATCAATTAATTTGGCAAATAAATATCGTCGATTTTGCGCTTCGTTAGGCGCTCTTTGGAGCGTTATAAAGTCGATTTTAAAACGTAATTAACACAATTATTAATACTTATTTAATTGGCGCCCTTTTATTTATTATTCAGGTGAATTTTTAGTTTTTCTAAAAGTTAACTTATATAATTTTAAACTTTTTTCTTTAAAAAAAATCTGTTTTGGTCAAGCTCCAGACGGGAAGGAAACGCCATACCGCCGGAGTCTCCTATTTATTTAATAATTCTTACATATATAAATGCTCGTTACCGAAGAACCGTCGTATCTATTCGGGTTGGAAGGAATTATTCGGGCGATTAATTTCTGTATTATTAATTTTGTTAGCGAAAGAGGAACTAATCTACCTCGTTATTAAGCGGTATGCCGGGTCCAACGGTAGTCTCGGCCAGCATTCGATAAACCCGGTAGCGGATATATACCGCGTACGTCTCAAACAGGCATTTAAAATATGCCAAATAAAAATTTTAAGTAATAAGGGGTAAAGGTGGTTAGAGAGGTCAAAGGTTAAGTTAGAGCGCGCGTAAGACGTTACATTTGCAGTTTTAAGCGGTGAAAACAGTGTTTTCTTTATTAATTAAATACAATTTTGGGGTCAAAAATGGATGTTTACGAGAGTTTAGTAAAAATAGCGGAGTTTTTCCCAGTTTAGCGCGCATTTTAAATGCGTTTTAAACGTTAAAGAAGTTTACGATATTTTTTAATTGGAGCGACAATGGCAAAAGCGGGCATTCAATCAAAGAGAATAGCATTTTCGCGTAAGACAAAGTGATTGATCAATCGAGATCCGCACTAATGTCCCTTCTGTATTCAACATATCTCGGTAATCCCCATCCACCACAGATTTGATTGATTAGATGGAAGTAAGGGTTAATGAAGCCATATTCCAAAACATCCAATTCTTGGATTGGTACGGGCGCTCCTCCCA